CAGCATTCTTCGGAGGCGACTAAGGCGAAAATGGCCAAAACTGTTTGCTTGTTTCCGATACACAGTCCACGTCTTCACCTTGAACAAGAGAACTTCAGATGGGCAGCCCTGTACATCCTCAGTTTTGTGCTGGGTAGGATGCCGCGATGGTTTCAGATGGAATATTCCAGTTAGCTGAAGGCTTGGCTTATTTTGGAAATCCGACTTATGATTTGTTCGTCAATCTTGATGTTTCGTGAGATTTTATTCTAAAGGCACGTGAATTTCTTCACTGCTATGAGATGAGTTCCAGGAACATATGCGGTTCAGCTTAGTTAGCATTTGGCCTTGGTTGGTGCAGGAGCACAGTCTTCTACGTGCTGATGGTCAGGACGAAGTTAGAGCCGCCGGAAGAGGAGAGATCGATTCTCCGTGGATGTACCTTTCAGTTGTGGTGTTTGGCGCCTAGTCGTAAGCGAACGAGAGGTCGTTAACGGTGGCCCTACATACTCTCGAAGGCGCATTCAGTCGACCAGCAATAAACGGCTTCCCGTCTCTAGTCAATCTCCTGCCACTCTTCACAGCGGGCGTCCATCATTGTGACGGATCACTTTAAGCTGAATAGGGTAGAAGGGAGCAAACAAACCTGACTCATTCCAATGGCTACCGCAAACGTTTCAGAGGTTGCCTCGTTGCCCACGACGTGAGCCATTACCCCACTATGAAGGCATCTTATTTTTGCGTAAATCGTCCAGTGTACCAGGATTTCATCATGATTTTCCAGAGTTCATCGCGATCCAACGTGTCAAATTTTTTTGACAGATCGATGAGATTAATGTAAAGGTCTGTCCTCCTTTCCTAGCGCTGTTGCTGGAGTTGGTGGTCTGCGAAGACATTATGGGTGGTTCCTTAGTGTTGTGGAATTCTTACTGCGTTTCTAGAAGAAGTTCCTGCTTCAGATGCTTTGTTTATGATGCTGAGGTGAGAGATGCCTCTGTGGTTATCACATAGGCAACTGCAACTACGTTGGAGCAGTCATCTCATGAGAATGGAGGACACACGACTGGTAGGGACCCAAAACTGATGACCCGAACCCCTCGCAGCTGAACCATACGCCGACGGAATATCAGTAAAACACCTGTCTTGGCTTTTAGATAGAGCCTGTGTTGTCAAGTATGATATATCGTGCCATCTCGATATGTACTACTGGCTGCCTGTTGGCAGTTTCTGAAGATTACGCGCTGATTCCGCGGTGGCCGATGGACTTCATTCATATCAAACTTCAGTCTGATCATATAAATCTAAAATAGACTGATTTACTCCATATAAGCGATAAGTTTCTGAGGAAATTAAAAAGCTGCAAGCTCTAAACTGGGTCAAAACGCAAAATAGAAGGCTGATACCTTGTCTTGCGATTACAGAAGATTAGCGAAAGATGTTCCCACTTAAAGATGAATATGTCAGACAGCTGCTTAAACAGCATGAGCCTGTTGGCAGAGCTTTAGGCCCAATCAGCAACTGAAACTGAGTCCAGACGTCATGTCTTTCCTGCCCAGACTTTGAATATAACTTGACTGACGACCATCAGAAACAGTTATTCCAGCTCCTGTTGTCTTTTTCTGGTAATCCGCCTTGTTCACTAGACTGTTGTAGTGTCAGTTGTACAGACTGCTGGTAATAGCGTTTGCTGTCTACCACCGAAGACTGCACGCTCAGCACATGAGCAAAGCGGAGACATGCAACGGAGGATGGGCCTCCTCGACGCCGCATGCGCCAACTTCGGCCTGACTATCAACACGGACAAAACAGTGGTCATGTACCAACTGTCACCCAACTCGCAGCACCGCACTCCTACTCTAATCACTGTCGATACCCACCAAATAAAAACCGCGCACAATTTTACTTATCTCGGAGGCACACTTTCCAACAACACCAGAATATTGGGAGCATTTTTTCCCGGGTATGAATTGAAAACAGGCATGTACGGCAGAATTTATTGGGGCCAATAAATTTCGTGACGGCTTTTCAACTGCAGCCCGTCTCTGCATAGCATACGTAACGAATGGAAGCGCACAGCAGTATGAATTTGTACAAAATGTCACTGCATAAGAGCAAGGTCAAGGTTCAAGACAATGAATAATCAAATAAAGACGCTCCCATAAGCATTATATAGGAAAGAGGGAGACGGAATGTTAACAACAAATCACAGTCACGAGTAGATCGAGGCGTGAAGGTTACCAGGGCAATTGCAGATTGATCACGTGGTCTAACTACCTGCACAGGTCTGGTTTGTCCCTCCGTATGTAAGCTACCTCCAAGTAACGCAAGGTTCGAGTTGTATGCGCTCGGACAAGTACTCGAAAATATGTTTTAGGGTCGATAACATGACCGCTATCTAACAAGTGTTTCGTTATAGACGAACGGGGGGTTTTGTTTTTCTGTTTGAAAAGCCAATTAGGCAAATGCTCAGCGGCCCTGGTTGCCAATTGCCTTTGCGTTTGCCCAATGTACTTACATCCGCAAGTGCATGTGAATTCATACACGCAATTTGAGGTGGCGTGGATTGGCAAGGCATCCTTTGCCCGGTTAATTGGAAGGCTTTTTGTGGAACTGATGAAGATAAGTTCTGCTGCGTTGTACGTTCTTTCTATAGTGCAACGCAAGCGTCGCTTGATTGTGTTTGGGACGTTGTCACCCTTAAAGTGTAGACATATTATAACGGGCTTCTTCGGAACGGGCTGTTTCGTCAACCTTGGCCGTAAATGGTTGCTGTACTTCTGAATGAAGCGTGCAGGATAACGACGATTAAGTAAGGCTTCTTTGATGCAGGCAGTTTCTGTACCTATGGTCTCCGTGGGGCAAACATTTCTCGCTCTTTGAAAAAGAGTGTGTACTAGATTTCGTTTCCATCGTATTGGCGCAAAGCTTTTAAAATGTAAGTATTGCCCTTTCCACGTAATATTATGGAAGACGGAGCGTCTTATTGAACCATTATCCTCTCTAAACATGAGGACGTCCTGGAAGGGTAACTTGTTAAACTGCTCCATTTCCATCGTAAATTTGATTTTCGGATGCAAATTATTCATCAGACAAAGTAGGTCGGGGGCGTCTTCCTTGTTGTCAACAATCGTGAATATATCATCCACGTATCTCCTGTATAATGTTGTCATGTTTAATTTTGATGACACCTTTTCTTCTAGGTGGCCAATAAAAACGTCGGCGAGGGTTGGCCCGAGTGGACTACCCACTGCGACTCCGCCAATTTGTCTGTAAAGTTCTCCATTAAACAGAAGTTGGACATCTTTGGTGCAAAGTACCAGCAGATCGCGTAGTATTTCGGGAGACAGTCGGGTTTCGGACGCATGGGCGCATATAACATCTATTATTTCATCCAATGGTACATTAGTAAATAATGATTCGACGTCTAAAGAGATCATGCACTTGTCGGAGATGTTCTGGTCCTTAATTTCTTCAATGAAATGAAGACTGTCTTTTATCGTGTCGGTGCAAAACAATTGTCGAATTGGCTCTATCTCTTTAGCAAGCCATTTTGCTAGTCTGTGTGTAGGTGAATTAGACATAGAAAGAATTGGCCGTAAAGGTGTGTCCTTTTTATGCGTTTTTGGTGGACCATATAGTCTGGGGATATGTGTGCCTCTCGGTTTTGGGAATAGTGCGGTTTTAGCATCAATCAGGTTTTTTTCCAGCAACTTTTGGACCTTTTTCCAGACGGAATCTTCCAATATCTTGGTTTCATCTTTTCCGGACGCCTCTAGACGAAATTTGCCCTAACCATCTAATATGCACGTCATTTTCCTCACGTAGTCCTTCTGGTTAAGAATAACAACTCCATGGCCTTTGTCAGGCTTAGAAATTATTATTTGTTCATGACCTTTCAATGCGGATAGGGCAGCTATGCGTTCATTGGTTAATTAAGTTAGTTGTGTTACAGGAGCTTTACGGAACTGATTAACAATGTCCACAAATTTTGCTTTCAGCTGGCCGACATCGTCAGTTGATCTGGATACTAGTAAGACAGTTGAGAATTCAAGTCTTCAAACTGAGCCTTAATTTCAACTGGGTTTAATCTCCTGTTTGGAATGCAAAAGTCCAGTCCTAGTGATAAAGTCTCTGATTGTAGCTGATTAAATTTGATGTCAGACGGATTAAGGATAGTTTAATCTGTATTCAGAGGGAAATAATCGTCCGTAGACTTTTTTGCACAAAGACTTCCTTAGTTTAAAACGATATGAGTCTCTTGTCGTCCTTTGTATGATACACGCATGTTTCATGAACATAAACCAGCAGAAATAACATTTCTTGTCAAGCATATGTTTTTTTTGGTCCAAACGAGATTTGAGATTTATTGGCCCCAATAAATTCTGCTGTACATGCCTGTTTTCAACACCAAAATGGATGATGAGTTTGCCCGCCGAATCTCCAAAGCCAGCCAAGCATTTGGTCGGGTGCAGAACTCCATGTAGAATCGTCACGGCTGCCAAATGAATACCAAACTGAAGATGTACAAGGCCGTCGTCCTGACGACACTTCTATATGCCAAGAATCTCAACCAATTCCACATCAGCTACTTTCGTAGAACACATAAATTGAGGTAGCAAGACAGGGTCCCCGACTTGGAATTCCTGGAACGGACCGGAATCCTCGGCTTTCGCGCCATGTTGAAGCAACTGCAACTACGTTGACGCGGTCACCTCATGGGAATGGAAGACACACGACTACCGAAACAAATCTTCTATGGTTATGCCGCCTCCAGTACTCGATGACCGGGAGGACCAAAACGACGCTACAAGGGCACACTGAAGAGTTCTCTTAAACGATTTCATAGCAATTCAGAGACCTGGGAGGATCTCGTCCAGGACAGACCGGCCTGGCAAAGATAAGCGAAGATCGGCACTGCCATCTACGAACCCATTCGGACGGCTGCCACCAAAGCCACACGGGAGGCTCGCAAATCACAAGTGCCTGGCCTCCTCGATGCCAACCGCCCACCGCTTCCAAACATGCTCACGCTGCCAACGCGCATTCCGCGTACGAATCGGCCCCGTTGGACACCTTTGGACCCCATGCGCCATCAACCCGACAAAGCCGCGCCAACCGCCACCCCCGTCACCGCCGACTACCATCAACTGACACCATCCGCCCTGTCCCAACCCCTACATCGGCTGCAGCGACCATCATCACCACCGCCACGTCTTCAGGCACTTCCTACCCTCGATAGGACGACGTCTGATGTCTCATCACCTTCTACCATCACCACCAGAACTCTCACATCTAGCGATGTGGACTCGGTTCCAACCTGTTCCCTTTGTGATCGAACATTCACTTCACACATCGGCCTCGTCGGTCACTCTCGAATCCATCGCCTGGAGCACCAATCTACCTTTGCGGCACCCGACTCAACTGCCCTTACCCCTCTCATGGGCTTATTAGATCACATGCGCATTCACGAAAATCTGCGGTAGACAACCGTCGGCTGCATCACACATCCCTCACCAACAACCGTATCAAACAATATCACTTCATGCACTCGATTGCCACATTCCACGCAAGTGTGAAGTGTGCTTCTCGGCTCAGTCTCCATGCGACTCCTCTGCATTCGAGTCTGAGACTATCACGGTGCGCCATCGCCGTGGCTTGGAAGGCCACCAACTGACGCCTCAACTCATTAATGAGCACATCAAGCTAGTCATGCTCCAAACTTGGACGTAGTCCAGCAAATCCCATTGCCGCGAGCGAGGGGGCATCCATATCGCCTTCTCCCACATCGGAAGGAGGAGGAGTGTGTTGATCAGGAGAAGATCATGTTATGCACAGTAACATGATCTTCTCCTGATGAACACCCTCCTCCTCCTTCCGATGTGGGAGAAGGCGATATGGATGCCCCCTCGCTCGCGGCAATGGGATTTGCTGGACTACGTCCAAGTTTGGAGCATGACTAGCTTGATGTGCTCATTAATGAGTCATTGCTGTTTTAATTGCCGACCTCATGGCGACCTAACAGTCCCTCCCAGGTAGCGTTGGCTATGCCAACGTGGGCATTGGGGTCAACAAGGCTAATCAATACGCCCGCATTCGGCACATTAAATAAGTGGGCGTGAAGGTCATCATAGAACTTATCCTTCACGTCATCGAGTTCGGTCATTTAGGGGGCACAGGCGCTGACGCTGTGAAATTTCTTCCTGCAGAATACCAGTCCAGTAGTCACGAGACGGTCACCGACGCTCTGTGGCAAACGGGACAGCCGTCTCACGGCCTCGTTCCTGATGGAGAAAACGATTCAGGTTTCTTGTCACTCTTCCCTTGGACGTCTGTTCTAGATGGTGTATCCGGCACCCATCTCTTCCAGTTGGCCCTGTTCAGAAAAGTGGGCCTTACTGAGAGCCACAATGTCTACTTTCTAATGGACCAGTTGGCGGACAACCAGCGTAGTCCTCCTTTCCGGATGGTTTGCCATCGAATTATCTATAAGGAAACGAACATTTCAGGCTGTCAGGATGACAATTCTTATCAAAGAAGACGGGGCGATCACCGGGAGGGGTTTGTTAGCGGTCTGACGTTTCGAGTAGTCGCTTCGTGTACCCACCCTCAGAGACCGGGAGGTCATGCGCACAGCTCTTCTTGCATGGCGCAATTTGATGCATGACCCGCCAATGCCCGCCTGTTGACGGCCCCGATTGTCCCACGCCGTGACTATTCCCCGTTAAGAGGTTTCGTAAAGTCAGATAGGAGGGAGGCAAATTGATGTGACGGTTGAAGGAGCAGTCGACGCACATCCAGGCTTCTTGCACCTGCCTTGTTGTATGATCATCGCCCCGGTCCACGATCTCAACGGCGTCAAAGTTGAAGATGTGCCCCATTTGCGCAGCATGGGTTGCTACCGCCGACTGGGAATCGCATTCTCACTAGTACTGATGACAATTCTCAGCCTGGCAGCCGGTGGGGAGGCACGGGAATGGGAAGGGGGTTTGTTGTTTGTTGCCGTATTTCCACCGCATTTTTTGGGTCTACAGGCTATGGTCAGATTGCTGACGGTGTGCTTTGCCAGCAGTTTTAGAGTGCGGTTTCCAACTCTCTCCCTCGCGAAGAAGTAGGCAGTGACACTCCTAAAGAGGACTGCTGAGTCATTCCAGACGACTACCGAACACCACTATGGATCAAGACTTTTGTTTAGCGAGAAGACACCCGAATTATTTTGGGCAATTTACAGGATTGCGTGTCGTCCCTTCCGTAGGACTTTTTTGTTTGTAGCCGGGGAGGGAGTTTCGCGATTCGGTCGGGGATTACCGCGAGTGAATTCACACAAGCCAGGCATCGTCACCTGGTTTAGCCTGCCAACGAAAGCGGTTACCGAAGTGTGGCCGTTGTAGTGACATTTAAGTCCGTTTTGTTTTAATTAGTTACAATACGCTTGTTAAATAACTTGACACAACTTTGAAGGAAACAAAGAACTAGCACGTGCATTTTTACCTGCTGACGACTTTGTTCTTATTTACTAGTTTGTAACTGTTGGGATACTTCTATCTTCGTTTTCCGGACAGCCTACTTACTGTGCCCAACTAATGGGTTTATCACTTACATCGTCTTGATGAGCACGACTTCTCGACGACAAAGGTGAGAGCTGGGGACTGGGACGGGGCAAAGCAGAAATATCCACCATTTATGCGTTTTGCAGGGACTGTCAGTGTACCACTTATAGATACTCCTTACTACCACAGTCGCGCCTGTGCTACCAGGCCTAGTTTGAGTCGCCATGCCACACTTTCGTGCATATGCGTCAGTGTAAGTTTGTACAAAGCTCACCCAAACGCATCGTTGAAGCTGGGGCGGCTGTACAACTACGACCTTGGTCCCCATCCACGGCACCCCGCACACCCCATCATCGAAGTAAGTGGGCTATGAAACTGATCAAGGTACGTGCGCAAATATCGGGCCTTTAAGCAAACAGAGCAATCTTGCAATAACAGGGGTTGCTTACACAGGAGATGTGCTAACTCATGAAATGTTAACCGAAATTCTGAAATGCGTTTTTGACTCGAAAAGATTACTTAAGTGGGATGACGGCTTTTGAATTAACTTCTTTCCGGTCGCCTGCAAACTACACTCTATAAATAATGACTGATTAATTTGCATGAATTTTTCACATTGATTTTCAAAGCCCTTATAAATTCAAATATATTTCGTAGAAAACATGCTAATAAATATTCCTTTTTTGCCACTGTGGTAAAAGATTAGGTATTCCTTAAATTTTACACTTGAAGGGAGGATATTATTTGGTTTTAAAAGACCTTTCCATTTCACGAACATTGTTGAACCCGACCTGCCGTTACACTCGCATTCAGGGTTTCCAGACTACAAGTTGTATATTTCCCATGCACTGATAACCAAACATTTCTCTACGGTATTAAAAGGCGACTATGCGGGGTTCATATGATTCATCAGTGGATTTCAGCCATATTGTGAACTTTACAAGCAACTTCAGTAAACGCAGAGACAAGAGGTTTTATCATCCGGTATTTAACCTTCTTAAAATTTCCCATAATATTCAAACTGAATTATACCCTTCCTTCAAGTACAAAATTTAAGGTAAACGTGATTTTCTACCAAATTAACAAAAGAAAAAATATTCATGTCGTGTTTTCCATGAGATATATCTGAATTTATATGAACATCGAAAATCAACGAGAACAATTCATGCTAATTAAGAAGTCATTTTTTGCAGGGAAGTTTTGAAGGCGGCCGGAAAAAAGTCCATTAAAAAGCCGGCATCCTGAAGTAACTGAATTATCCTGGGATTATGCTGCACCAGGACTAAGAAATCTTTTCGAGTCGAAAACACATTTCAGAATTTCGGTTAAAATTTCATGAGTCAGCACATCTACTGAGTGCCTGAAGTGAGGCTCTTCGTGCAATAAGGCTACAGCCTAGAGAATAATTTCTTATTGGTTTTAAATGCCTCATAAATGCAGGCGTAAAGTTCTAGAAATCTCAATTCGCGCACATTGTCTGGCGAAAATTACTGCTATTTTTATTTCGAATCCTCACTTATGGCGGATTGTATTAGGTCGTCAAGTCACCATCAGCCTCTTTTGATGAATATTGCACTGTGAGCTATGTTTTATAGGTTTATCCTTTTCTAACTACCATGCTGAACGTCTGTGGTTATCATATTGGATCCATTTCTCATCACACGTTACAATTCGATTTAAAAGGGATAATTTTTGACGAGGAAGCAACACCATGAGGACTTCCAAACGTTGCTATTTCTGCTTTTGATTCAATTCATGTGGAACTTACACATCTAACTTCTTCACTTTACTGACTTCAGCTAGGTGAAGTAGTATTGTTTGCTCGTTAACACCAAACATTAACGATAATCCATGCGCGCTTTGCGATGGATCCTACTCGACGAAGACTTTAAATTTGCCATCGTTCACTTTCGATTCTGGCCAACCACGCGGCTAATTCTGAGGTAAACTTTACCAGAACGAGATCTCGCAGAGTAAAATATATCCTTATTATTCTGAGTTGTCCGCAATGCTGTATTTCCAGGTAAGGTCCCACCTTTCATAATTGTATGGATTTTAACGTCCCATTTCTAAACAAGAATAATAGAAAATTTTTTTCAGATTATTAAAGCGTAAAATGATTTAGAGAGGGGAAATATGCGTGCACATCTCTTGCACATTCCACTTCCGTAGAGTACATCACTGTCGTCTATGTTGACTTCGAGCAAATCTGATTGTTTAAAGCTCTCATGCCTCGTACTTGGTGTTCGATTGGTTGAATATGAATTTTCAACGGGATGTACCCTAGCGCCTTTAAGTAATTGTCCGATCTTGGTCTGTCATATGAATCTATACATATGCATATATTTGCATCCCAAGAAGCACAATTCGAAGAAAAATGATTCCTTTGAGAAAATGAACAAACTTTATATCGTAAACTTTCGACGCTGGTCCCCGAAGTCGTCGTCAGACGTGTAGAAAGTGTGAAAAACAGTCAAAACTTAAGCATGCCCGAAAAATCGATATTGTTTTGTCAGTGATGAGGATGGTTCGATGCTGTGGGCTGACGTCACGTTTTGATTGGCTGTCACCTGTTCCATTTTTCTTTGAGATATTTGTGCATGGCGTCCAGATCTATGTGCCGATTTATGCATGAATCATCAGGGTGAATGACCTCCAGAAATTTTCGGGCTTTTTATATCGGCAGAAACCGACAATGCGCGCTTTATCCCAAGCAAATGTATGCCTAGTTTCTAGTGTGCATAGCGACTTGGGAAAAATGGTCTCGCCTCTTCACTGCCAATTGGCGTTCATGTAGGCGGGTGGAGGAGGATTTCCCCGTTTGCCTATCTAAAAAGGCCGAGTTTCTTGAAGCCACCTACTCCGATGTGTTATGCACAAATAGGCATATCGAGTTAGATGCCACGTACAAAATCTCAGGGAAAGGTGGGAAACAA